CGGCCGGGGCGCGTGCACGGAGGAGGGATCCTTGCACCAGTCACTGATCCTGCGCGAGGCTCTGACGGCCCTTCGGGGTGCAGCTACCGGGTGAAACACAATACCATCAACAGCGCCATCCTAATTCTGGTGCTTGCAGTAAACCTTTCTGATGTGTGATCAAGCCTCAAGGATAAGATGTTTATTATTTGCCATGTAACCACGTGGCTGTGCTCCAATGTAAGGAAAGGCCAAATTGCACTTGTAATTCAAAGGGACCCAAAGCCTTAATGCTGTAAAGAAGGACGCTAATGATGCCCAGCGGGCGCGGGGCACGCAAGTGCGGCCCAAAGGTTGTTGATGGCCTTCCTATGAACCTCCTCAGTGTGTGACAGGTCCTTGCCTGTGGCCAGCAGAGATGTGATCAAGATGAGGGACGTCTGCGTGTTCATTACGCTGCCTACGCCTCCACTGACACACTTTACATTTAAAATACTGTTTCCATTGAGCTGGAGCATAAACACGGAGCGTGTGGACTTGGGGAGCTCCATTAGCAAATGCAAATCGTTTGGTGCTTTGTCCTCCGCACGCAGAAGTCTTCAGAAGCCACGGTCCCCATCTGCCCCAGCTCTCGTTAACTGATAAAGAAGGCTTTGCAATGCATGTCTAGTTATTTACTTATTTATTTAAACGCACCACCTGTAGCGAAAGAAGCAACGTTCAATTCTAAAACTGATCGAGAAGTTGTGTCTGCTCCGTAAACAAAAGCAGAACCAGCAACCGGTGCACGAGGGCACGCGGGATGCGGAGGGAGAAGAGCGTGGCTGCAGTCCTGGGGGTGAGAGCGGGTCAACAAAGGTATTTTACAAAATAACCCGATACAAGAACTGTGGGTAAGAACAGCTGACCCACAAGATAAATGGATCATGCAAATAATCGTTTAGCCACCAAAACAACGCCTAAAGGCTTGAAGAGCCGACTGGAAAGGAAACTCGACGGCTCCAGCCTGGGCTCCAGCCTCGCACGGGCTGGTAGTAGTGAGCGCTAGCCCTCCTTCTGCCTAGCTACACTAACCCAAGTAGTAAGTAGTTATATTTATCAAAGACCATTTGCTGCAAGTGATTAACGCTAATTTGATTTCCTGTGAGTCAATTTCCTTGAGATATGGTAAATAGGCTATTACCTGTTATTGACCTTTACTTTATTAAAAAGATTTAAAATTAGAATTTATATATATATGTCCTTCCAAAAAAGTTTTTTTAATAAAGAAAAATATTTTTATAATCACATTATACTTGCTAGCTGAGGTTGTCGTTCCAAAGTTAATGTTAAATAAAGACGGTAATTAAGAGTGAATATGATGATGATGGTTTTTAAACTCATCTAGAGGACTGACCCCTTCCTTCGCCTCCACTTGAATTTTCGCTCCCGAGCAGAGCAGGGTGGAAGCGGAGGCAGGGGCTGGCGGGGCCGCCTGCGGGCGCTGCTCCGGCTCCTGCTCCCTGCCAGGACACACCTCTCCCAGGATTTCCAGTCTCCTCCGGGCAAGAGGGCACGAGGACCTGCTGGTGCTTAAAAAGCTCAGCTCCTGCTTCGTGACAGCCTGCACTTCTGGTAGCCTACTCGTCTCCTAGGTCTGACTTAAACTGAGCAGGAAGAAATTACGTCAACGTTTGATCATGAAAGCAAAAAGTTTATTCATGTTTGAAACTACATATAACTACCACGAGGAAGACTTTTCAATCCAGGGTGTAATCCAGTTAGAAAGTAACACGAAACGGTTTAATACATTAGAATCACTGCCACAAATTATTTTCATGACTCAATCAGTTTCAGAATCGCATACAATACAAAAGAGAGAAAGAAAGGGCCCCCTGTTACACAGGGGGAAATATACAGTACTGAATACTGAAGTCTGTATGCATTACAATTAGTTGTTGGTTTTTGCGTGGATTAGTAACAAGATGAAGAACATTCAAAATGTTTCTCAGTATTTACAACAGTTTCACTGTTTTGTGTTAAACCTAAGAACCCATGTTTCCACTTTCGCTTCTTTAAAAGTTGCCAACGCAACCCTGATTCTTTTAAAAGATTACAATGTACATTACATCTCATGGGGAAACAAAGAGTTAATTACAAGATGCCAAAAGATAAGAAAGAGACAAACTACAGCGTGAGTATCGTTCAGAGGTAGTAAGTGAGCACTCTAAGCTACAGAACATGTTGAAAGTCTATTGGTTTGTATGAGTTCGCATGAGGTAATAAAGCTGTGTTTGATTGGTGAGATGTATAAATACTCTTTTGCTACACTATGTACAACACTCCATATGATGGTGCTTTTTTCCTTTGCTTTTTTTCCTTTGTTTGTTTGTGGTTTGCTGCCAAGAAAAGGTAACAGATCTTGGCAGGCGTGTGCAGCACCTAGCTCGTACTGTAAAACCCCAGGTCTTGGCTTTCAGAGAGATCAGCAGCAAGTGTCTTCATCTCCTAAGAACAACCTACGTCCGGTGTCGAAATACAGAGAGGAGACTCGGGGTCCGGGTAGTTTTAGCAAGAAAAGATCCTCCTGGTTTCCAATCTAATTTGTAAGACAATAGATCACAACAAAAATGTGACGAAAAAGGATTCTTAAACACAACCACTGTTAACCGAAATAACCGAACAGCTCTTTTTATTCCAACTCTATAAGAGATATGAAAAGATTAAACACAATCAAAGTCTGCGATTCATTTCGACTTTCCATGGAAATATGCACAAAGTTAAATTTAGGTGAGGTGTTTCTTTGTGTCTGCTCTTGCTATTGAGGTTAAGCTCGTCCTGTACTTTTACCCTTAAGGCCAAGTAATTGGCAACTGTTAGACCAACATCGTTAAAACTGCTGATAATAAATTATGATAAAATAGTTACAGGGCTATAAACAATGCTAAATCTTGGCCTAATTGGATAAAGTGCTTTTTAACATTGTGTGTTTTAAGTATAAATACAAATGATTATGATACCTTTAAAAAACAGATTTACCAAGTTTTCTAATAAGACAAGGTTTTACAGTAAAGCTGTAGGTGGTTGGCTACAAAAAACTCTTTCCTTTTTCTCCTGTGACTCTGAATGCGCTAATCAAGGCATCTCAGCTCAGGGAAAAAGTGTTGCTAGGAGATTAGTTAGAGGTATCAGAGTGCACACTTCCCGGCCCTTCTGTAGGGGAAGTCACAGAAGATGGAGTAGTTGCGTCCTGCCAGCCTCCATTAGCCTGAAAAGGGAAAAACAATTCAATTGATACAATTATGCATATTAATTACACCGTACACTGAAAGTATCAGCCTGGCAAGCCCGGGGTTTGGGAGGAGATGCTCTGGGAAGGAGATTTTTTCCTACGCTCCCTCTGGCTGCAGAATTTGTGAAAGGCAAAAGCCGCGGGCGTTGCGCGAGGGATGCTGGAAGCTCGGTCTGCGCCAGCGCCGAGCCCAGAGCCCGTCAGGCAGATGTGAGCCGCCAGTCGGACCCGGGGTTTCCGCGCAGACCGTCCGTGCTTCAACGCAGAGCGTCCCTGTGGCCGCGCGTCGGCCTTTTCCCCTGAGAAGACGAGTCCGGGGCGATCCGCGTTAAAGCCCCGCGTCTCCCCTCGCCTCCCAGAGTTCGGAGTTGCCTTCCTCCGCCCGGCTGAGCCCGGGGAGCCTGGGTCCCTGCCAAGGCGACCCGCCAGCGCGCAGCCGTCGGGGCTGCCAGGCGGAAAGGGGCCGCTCGGATCGGTTTTCCAATTATCTCTAAACGCAGCCCCCGTGCGGGACGCCGCTCCGTGTCCGCGCATGCCGCCGGCCCTCGCCGCGTCAGACCCGCCTCGGCAGGAGCAGCGCTCAGGAACAAATTTGCCTTATGTCTCGGCCGATCGAGGCAATTGCTGAAATCAATGTCTGATCAAATTTCTGCTGTGGCAGACAGCTTGTCGCTACATATTTTTATGTCAGTCAAGAAGAGGGAGGCGCGGGGCTCGTGAGTTGGGGGAGGCTGAGTGGAAGTGACGGGGAGGCCTCTCCACAGAGCCCGCGAGAGCCGCCCCGGCCCCGCGCTCC